CTCAATTAAATTGGTTTCATGCTATGGGCAAGTTCATAATTGAAAAAGTTACTTCTTGTTTACTAAAAATGAAAGTAGTACAGTGGTCAGGCTGGAAACCTTCTTTTCATTAGCTTTATTGCAGTTGCACAGGATCAGTAGTAGAAAATAAAAGGAGAATTAAAAAAGTAGAATTAGAAAGTAGAAAAGGAGAATTAGAAAGTAGAAAAGGAGAAAATAAAGGAGAATTTAGCTCCCAAGTTCTCATCTAGTCTCCGTTCTTCTCATAGCTAAAGGCTTTGCAAAATACTGATTTTTGAGTACGTTTTTGCAGCTGTGAAGTCCTCAACACACTGATGAAGCTGAAACATATGCACTCAGATCAACTTCTGCAGCTTTTTGCTAAGCGAAACCTCATGTATTTCTGACTGGATCATACAATATTCTTCCTAAGTGAAAGCAACCTAAGCGTGCAAAACCAGCTGAGCCAACTACCATGGCAACAAATGTGAAGTGTGAAGTGCTGCTGGTTTTATTTCCTGTAACTTTCTATCAGAATACTTAGACATATTCTGCGTACATTATTTTTCCATCAAGAGAGAGGACGATTTGTTATCTATTTTGTTATTCCACTTACTTCCCCACAAGCTTTTTTATTTTGCACGTGATGTGTGTCCATGTGATTTCCTCATATTCCTGCCTTAGAAAGAATTTTCACTTTTAATTAAACTCACAAGTACACTCAAAGCTATCTACATCTTGCTGAGATCTTGCCAAATCACAAATGGTGCCAGTAAGAGATTTGAAAAAGTATCAGAATCTTAGCAGTGATGCATTACATGGAAAGATAAATGAGAAAGGGCATAAATACTGTCAGCTGGGACTCCTGGAGAGAGCACTAATATGAGAAGAAAGCAAATAGACATTTGCAGTTAGAGACATCTTGCAAGAATATACCTATTTGGATCCACAAAGGTTTGACAGTAGGTATAATTCTGCTATGAAAGCACAGCCACAACGTTAGACTCCGGATAACTAAAGTTAACTTTCACAAATGCATTATTTAACTCCCAAAGTAATACACCTTTATCACGAATCACTTTGGCATAAAAAGCAGATTCTTCTATTGATCATTACTTGCATGCCTAACTTTATTTACCAATGGTAACATGACTTGAAAAGCCTGATTATGGCAGCTAGGCTTACAAGATATAGCTTAAACTTCTCTTGGAGCTGGTAGAATTTCCATATTTGTTTCTTAACTCATCTTCAAGACTTGTAAAGAAAAATTTGAATTTAAACCTGGTATTGGAACTGCCACAATATCAAAGCCTTGACAGAAAGTGTTTTAGACACTCCACCTGGTGGTCACTAGCTGAATACTCTGGCAGTTTATTACTAAAGCTGTAAAATTAGCAAAAACTAATTTAAGAGTTTAAGATAATCGTTAGGAGGAGAAAAGAATCAATTCCAGGTTCTGGTTAAATACATATACATACAAGCTGGTCCTGTCTGCAAGCAGTAGAGTGTGGCGACCAGGATCTGAAAGAGGAAACAAATCTAACCATAACTTCTATCCATCCACAGAGTAAAATTTGTGATTGATAGGAGCACTACTTTATAACAATGCTATATATATTTTCTAGTAATAATAAAATAATGTTTATAAAACAATCACATTTCAAACAAAGTCTAAAAAAGCCATTATAAAATTCCTCAGGGTGAATCATGAGCAAGCAATTCTGAGATGGGAAGGCTGCAATCAGCTTCCAATCAAGCACAGCCAGACTGTCAAATCTGAAAAATTCACACAGCTCCATGTACCTCATACTCACAGGTTTTCTATTTGCCAAGAAAGACGGTGAATCAGCTTTCCAGTGAACTATCATATGTAATCAAAGCATCTGCTACTGCTAAGATCCACAAGTCCTCAGTTACCATGAAAACAGCATAAGCATCTGAATAACATTAAATAAACAAGCCCACACCACAAACAAACTAAACATGCGAGGATATAATACAATGGAGACATGCAAGTTCTTTTTTCTTTTTAATAAAATACAACCATAGTAAAAGTCCTTTATGTTTTTGGGTTTTTTTTTCAGAGCTTGAGATTTCAGTTTCTGTGCACAAACCTACCCAGTATTTTTATGTCAAAGACCAACAGTTCCATGTTGATTTGATCAAGGACATCAATTTGCTTGCTGTCAAGTAGTAAAATACCAAACATATGTAAAATTAAAAGCAAAATCTCTCACAGGAACAATTTTACAGAGCTACTTTCAACCGTGTACAAAGGTAAGAGAAGCCTTAGTGTAGAGTGTCTTCTCAAGCACAAGGTGGGATTTATTTCCATGAATCTTCAGTCACTGCATTAATAGTAAGTGCCCTTGGAGTGCTAAAATGCCACCAAGAAAGGCCTCTAATATGTAATACCAGCTCTTGAATAGACTATCAAAGCATCTTTAACTAGCTACACTGTGTGGGTAATATCCCCCACAGGTTATTTGTTATTACTTAGTTAAATCCAAGGAAAACTGAGCTGGAAATACATGGCAGCTCATGGAAAATATTTTTGGGAAAAAAAAAGCCTATTACTTCACAATTCAAAATTCTAATCACACAGCAATTGCTTTGCACCTTAACCATTGTAGTCACAGGAATGAGCAGTAACAGCTATCAGATACTCCAAGCCATTCCTATCATATAACACAGGTAAACTTATCTTAATATTAACCTTACATCAAAAAAGTTACACTAAGCAAGAGCAGAAGAAGAAGACAGGGCTGTCTAAAAGATACCTCAAACTTCTCATGCAGTTTGAAATGTCAGTGGTTTCAGGGTCTAATGAGCTATTAGCCCTCACCTGCCCTCACATTTTAAGAGAGGCTTTCTTTGTAAGGATGTAAGCCATCCTGCGCTGGATATATGTATTTGGGTAGAGAAAGAATATTATGGGTTAAAAAATAAACGAAGGGTTTTGCCAGCAGCAACATACTGTAGGTAGCTAGTACAAATTCTGTTGTGAGTTAGTCCTCAAATATTGTCATAGAATATTGCATATATTTAACTTCAATATCACATATATTTAACTTCAATAACATCTGCCTGTACTGCAGGATACTACCTTATCCAGAACAGATTACAAATTAACCTTGTCCACTGACAGTGTGCCTGATAATCCTGAACCACTAAGTCACTCATGAAAAATACTTGATTTATACATCATGCCACACATTTAACCCCCATGCTTTGAGCGGCTGAATTAGCTCCTCATTGATGTAACTAAACACTAGTTTGTTTTGCCACTGTTTTCATATGACTCGCACCCTGTGATCATTCAAGCAAATCAGGCTGAACTGTTTTTTTGTTTGAGAAAAGGCAAAGCTGATCATAAACCTAGCAATATCTTGCTTCTTTTCTAATACTGCATTAGCTTTTAAAATAACAGGACAGATAGTTACGGTCAAAACTACACTATATAAATGTTAAAATATTTCTGATTAAGTTTTGACTTAATCGGAAGGATTTTCATGGACTAGGCAGAATGAAGCTATCGATGTGGAAATCAGCATGGTCTAAACAGAACAAACAATATGGAGCTGGGAAACACTGATTTTCAAACTACTGTTTCTCTATGGCCTTCCATTTATTCCTGCAGTTTGGGAGGATATATTTCCAGGAGCCAAGTTTCTGCACCTGTAAAGTGTGCACATTTCCCTGTTATTCCCTGTATTACCGCAAGCCCAGAACTGAAATTGCAGCGTGCTGCTTTGCAGGCTCTCCATCATTTCCCGGTTCAACACAGAGAATGATGAATGTTACATCTCTTTAAATACAACCGAATAATGAAACTTGATGCAGCTCCAAATTATTCCGTGCTGCCCCGAGCAGGATCATAGGGAGCAGCGACTGTCTCAGTGGGAGGGAGGCAACCAAGGGGTGCCCAACCTGCATGGCGCTGCCCCAGGATCCAGGCTGGAAGCTCGAGGGTCATCTTAGTGTCTTCCAGTCAAGGACTAGGGACTCTCTGAAGTCTCCAAGGACTCTCTGAGGTTTCCCTACCACTTCCTAATCAGTCACCCGAGATGTATAGGCAGTTTAAATGTGATTTCTGTGCAGCCCTAAGTCCTAGGAAGGATAAGGTAACCCTTGAAATTGCGTCTTTTATGGAAATTATGATGAAGATAAAGAGGGATGATCAAACACTGGCTACAAAATAATCTTCTCATCTTACAGAAGCTACTGTAGGTTTTCAAGAGGTTGCAATAACAAAAATGTTTTCTGGGATGTGCTGGTATGAGAAAGGAAGATGAGACTGACACTTTCCAAACTGCAAGGCACTGGAAGAATCACACACCAATCCTTCCTTGCTCGTCTACACCTGAGGTTTTAAAAACACCATTCCACACAGCCATTAAGAAGACTGATGCTGAACCAGACCCAAAACATACTGCAGGGTCAAGATCCTGCCTTTTCACCCTTCACAGTCATTGCAGAAAATCTTGAAAAATAACTTATTCCATGTTTACATTACTTGGGAGTGCTTCAAAGAGGGAGTAATCTCACAGAACCAGGGGGTCTGGGGGGAGCACCCTACTTTAAAGAGAGATCCTAGTATTTTTGCCATGCACACGGTTTATCTCAACACAGTTTATGGCATTTTTCTGGGAGGTTCGTTTCATATTGACTCCATTGGCTTTTTCATGACTCCTGTGCAGCACACTCTTTAAAAAAAAATGTAATTCCAAAGGCTGGTCTAGATGCATAGGGTCACTTCATGAGCAGGAGGAAAAATCCACTGGATGGCCTCACATACTTAGAAATAGCCAGGCCAAACACTACTTTACTGTTTTGAAATATCTCACTGCTGAGGATAATTTGAACTTTCAAGTCACATGATGAAACCATAGGTTTGCTAAACATGCAACGTGTATGGTTTGAATTGCTTAAACTGAGTTCCTGTTTCCTTTGCGAACTGAATGTTTTTGTAGTCAGTGAGCGTCTGGATTTTCCATCTTGATGTACAGCAGCTAAAGAAGCGACTGTAAAACATACTCTGCTTTCTGCATAAATAAAAAAGAGCTGTTTTCTCCCATCAAAAATTACATTTCATCTGACTACTCACAGAGAAAGCCTCTGACAGCTGTACCTGTGGAACATCTTGAAGAGGTAAGTGTTTTATCTTTGAATATGCAATGCTTTTTTCATCATAAATGTGATGCTAACGTTGTAATTTGCAGTTTTTAGTTCTCCATTAACAACATTCAAACTACACAAGATTAAAAACTACATCTGGGAAACATCCCAATAAAACTAAAATTAGTAATAAAGCTCAGCTTTAAGTACAGTCAAACTAAAGGCTGTTTTACTGTAATTAATTTCCATTGAAGTGATGATAGTTAACAAAATATTGATCAGTGGTCTTGGAAAAAGACTCTAGCCTGTGCCTAAGAGTTGTCCTTTACAGGACGAACATTGTTCGATAAACCTAGCGACACTGCGAGACCTGCACGGGGCAGGAAACACGTCAGCAGCGCTAGTCGAAGATCATGCTCCGTTACTGCCGATTCATTTATATTTTTGAGAAGTAAAAGTCTTAAGCTTTCAGCTGCTCACAAACCGATCATTTCTCAGGAGTTAAAATTAGGACTTCTTAAACCTCAGGTATTTTCCAAAATGCAGACATTTTATCACAGTGAAAATGAAAAAAAAAAGTTCATTTTGAAATTTCAATCTTTAGCACACTGTAACGTGCCCCATTTTTTAAGTTGGCAGAGCTGGTAAAAGCAGGAAGGATAAATTCGCATACCTCGTTACCCCCCAAAATTATCTGCACTGTTCTCAATGGCTGAAACTGCTCACGGCCAGGAAGGGCTGTGTGTCACAAGGAATATTGTGCCTATTGCTTAATGGCTGAATGAAAGAGTATTTTTCTTCTAAGCTGGTGAGGAGACGCAGAGACTGCCCTGCCAAACTGTACACGTAGGAAGAGCTTTGGTTGCCAGGGAGAAATTCCTTGTTTTAGGAAAACTTCTTCACAGACTAAATTAACTAAAGTTTCCTTGAAACTAAGACCTTCATCTACAAGAACTGATCAGAGCGGGTAAAAAACAGGAACAACGAAACCTTACAGACCAGGCTTTTTCAATACTGAAAGCAATCTTTTCACAACTTGCTATTTTTAAACTGCCATCTAAGCACTATACTCATTTGCTCAGCTCCATATGTTGGAGTGGAAGGATCATGTATTAGCTGGGCTTCAGAAGGGAAAAAAAATAAAACCAGGCGCGTTCACTTTGACTGCTACCAAAAAAGGCAAATCGGGTGATAGTGGCACAGCGGTGCCAGAAAGAGCCAAAACCCAAGAACGGAAAGGGAGGCGAGGTGAAGTTAAAGCACGATTAATGACATGAGAATTAAGCTGCATTCAAACGAAGCAAGAGGGGCAAAGGTAACGCGGGGACAACACGCTGCCCGAGCAAGGCGAAGCAGAACGCGCAGCGCAAACAGCAACCGGGAGTTTCCCTGGATCTGAGGTACAGGGCAGTAAGCTTGGGATAAGCACGACTAGGTTTGAGTTCTGCCACAGCTCCCATGGACGTGGGCTGGGACCAGCTGTTTGGAAGCCAGTCTCAGCTTCCAGTGAATCAAGAGGTGAAGTCACTGTCTTAGATGGAGAAAAATCCAGTGGCAGCTCCTGGCGCTGACACCGGAGCATGGCAGATGCCACCAAACCAAAGGACGTGGGGCCTCCCCGAGCATGGCAGGAAACACGACTCGTGTCTTGAAATAAAATGTCCGTCGTTGCAGTAAATTTAACATCCTGACAAGAACTCGAGGAATGCCAGATATTAATCATAGCAAGATGGAAAAAAAAAAAAAAAAAAAAGGATAATGAACTCCTTATTATCCCATTATGGAAACTCTGAAAGTATTCTGAGAAAAAAAAAAGTATTCTGCTGTAAATAGTGAAATAAAAGATGTATGATATTAAGTGCCCTCCATTGCTCCGTAGCTCCCACACTTTTTACTTTAAATTACATTATCATCATCAAAACATTACAAAAATTTGCAGAGATGTTCAACTTATCACAGCAGAAGCTGTGAGCCTTATCTCATTATTGTTATTATAAGTATTCCAGTTTAGTGCAAGGGATAACCGTAAGAGATGCTTGTAAGGGCTTAAGATTTCTAAAGGTAGACCTGCAAGACAGATTATTGCCTTACAGTCAAAACCCCTCTAACACTGTAGGATACATGTTCATAAATTACTTATAAATGTCTCTCTGCATCTTAAGATCACATTAGCATGGCATTCAAGGTGTTCATCCTCTAACACCAAATTCCCCAAATATCTTTAGTTTAAGTTAATGTCAAAATTAATATTTATATTGCTTATAATTATACACATAAATTTGCACTGTTATTTCCCAGTGAATTTTTTAATTCTAGTTTGAGTAGATTATTTTTGCTTAGTTTAAATCCCTCCTCAAATGACACAAGCTGAGACACGCATTAGAAGAACAATATGTACATGGAGAAAAACAACAATCCTAATAACATTTTTTGTCTTTTTTCGTTCAATAGCAGTATTAAATAGAGATCTGTGCCTCTAAACAAGAAGTACAATCTAGTTTAAGCTATTTCAGGCATTCATTTGGAAATTCCAGCAAATGAGGCCTAGATACATTGATAGCCTCTCTGTAAGAAAATGCAGTTCCAGCATTAAAATATAACTTGAAAACAGGTGGGTACAGGAAGAAGCATCATGAAAACGCACTTAAAAAAAAACAAAAACCAAATACACAGGAAGTTGCAATTACTGGAATCTGCTGCTTTATACCTAGTTTTACTTATTTTGTGTTGAACACTCAAAGGATAGCTAAATAAAAGAATAAGCCCACCGCTCTGGTCAGAGATATATCTGATATCAGTACCAAGGCCAGATCTTAACCTCCTGAAACTACTGGACAGAAGGACAACACCTGGTAGAAGGGGCAAACCTTCTCCACAAGCTCACAGGCTTCCACATTTTATCGCAATACCAGCACTGGGCTTCAGGTCTCCTCTCTAACCCAAGGTCCAAATTTGACTTAAACTGATACCTTCACTCATGAGATTTCTCCTGGGTATTTAAGGAGAGATTAATTGTCAACATTAGGGTTTCAGGATCTTTAGATTTCCAGGAAATAAAGAGAAATCAGGGCCATGGGAGGAAGGCAGGAGGTTCCAGCACATTGAGCCCTGTGGTTTCGCCTGCCTAGGTAGCCGAGCACTTTTATGCTGGCCAGCATTAAACAACAGCTATATGGGCAAGTATGCGAAGCAGAGAGCATTGCTTGGCTAATGAGAAATTTTCTACATTTTTTTCCCCAGTGCTTCAGTATCTCTCAGTTTATCAAACAGAAGCTAAAACAATTAGCTTCTGTGAATTTAGTTTTACAGTTCTCAAAAAATGGAAGTTAAACTTTGCTTTCCAAAGCTATAGGGACACAATCCAAATCTGTCTGAGCTTCCCTCACAAGGCACCAAAATCAAGCATCGAAGATGACCTGGAAGTAAGGTCAAAGCCTGATGACTTAGAATCAGCCTTATTTTGAAGAAATACTCCAGAATTATAATTTACGAGGGAAAAGTCATTAGTATGAAAAAATACAAAAGCCCAATCAATTCACTAGAGGGTGTTTTTTTCTTCTCGTATTTTTCTTTCTTCTTAACATCCCCACTCTTCAGATTGAGCACTTCCACGCAAACATGATTCTCTTCTCTGCAGAACATATTAAAAATTAACTGCACAAAAATAAAAACTCTTCTGCAAGCATTTAAGACCTATTTCCTTAATTACCAAGTCAACCGTGTTTCCTCCCAACACCACTCATCTTCAAAAAGATTTTTATTCCGTTTTTCTCTAAGAATTAATTTATGCATTTAACAACCTATTTTTTTAAGCTTCAGTATTATACTGACTCTTAATTATTAATTCACTTCAGACATTCCTGCCAGCTTTGCCTCTCGTTATTTTCCTATATGCTGCAACCAAGCTGACAGCTTAGGATAGAGCAAGTCAGATCAGCTCATTTGAGCCTCCTTCTCGTGCACCTGGAACACGAGCGTTTTCCTCTGTGGAGGAATCTCTCCAAAAATAACCGTCTTTGTCAAAGAAAGAAATCCTGTCTTTAAGGAGACAAAGACCACTGCTGAATCAAAACATAACTCCATGGTTTTATATAAATGAAATTATAATTATGTAAGATTATATATACATTTAATCAAAGTCACTCCGATAAGTCAACTTTTCTAATTAAAGCCAGTATTAGAATTCCAATTTTGGGGAGAGATTAGAAATATCAGAAATGTGAAGTAGTGTCAGAGGTAACAACCATAAATGAACTGTCAAACAGAATTAAGAGGCTGACTTATCTATAATGAACACTGCTTAAAAACATTAATGTGTCTTTATGAACTTTTACCAATTTAAAATTACTTTAAGAGTTAACATGACGAGGATTTCTTTATAGAAAAAGGCATTATGTACAACTGTAATATATTGTTATTGATTGCACAGAATCTTCTAATAAGCATAATTTCCTTGTCTTATCTTTACCTGGCTCACTCTTCATATACTTTGCTTAAATATACCAGCTACCCATACAACTGAATAAAGAAACTAGACTCTGATCTAACACAAAATTGTATTTTCACAGTAGCAGAATTATTATGACAACACACACAGTCATTACAGCTAATCACCTCTCTGTATTACTCTTAAGATTCCCTATTCTCAGGAATTTGTAACTGTAACAAAACCTGTAACATTATAAAAAAATGTTCTTTGGTAATTTTACATAGCTTTATTGATAAGTCCTATAATGCACAGTTAAACATTTGCTCAAATTCAAACAAGCAGAAAATCATTTTTTTTTTTTGCAGCTCTATGCAATAGCTACATCTAAAACGATTGTAGTGTGTAAAGATGCTTCACTACGAAAGCACAGCTTGTTCACGGTAATCCTTAAACATTTGTATTAATTTTCAGTGGGTTTTTCAGCACAGACTGCAGGTATGAAAAGCTTTCTTTTTCCATAACAGAGAGGAAGCAAAACTAAAATGAAGGAAGGAATGTGGTTCTTGCCTCATATTGTGTTTATCTGGGCATTTTCCTCAATGTGCAGTGTGAGCCCTGAGACTATCAGCTGGGTTCATATTTTACAAAATTTCCACATTTTCCACAGGGAAGCAAAGCTATTTTGTGGCTGTAATTGCAATCCAAATACTAGGGTTGCCTTCCATGCTGCCTTTAGCCTTTTTTTTTGGCAAGATGGTGAGGAAAAGGGCTCCATCTAATCACAGATCCAACAGTCTTCCTCGTCTGAATTTCCAGCTTATAGAACAGGAAACATGAACACACTGAACCTGGGCTGCTGCCTAAAAAGCTCTATGGCAATAAATGTGCATCTTCCTAAAGTAAGGAAAATGGAGAGGAAAGGGGAAACAGATAAAAAAAAATCCAGATTTATCTTGCTACAATTATGTAAGCTAACTTGAAGTTACTATAAGAATTTAAAATTTATGCCCCAAAATCTACTATAATTATACTGAAGAAATAGCTCATAATCCTGATTCCACATGGTATTTAATATACAAATTAGAAAACAATGTTAGAATGTACGTTAGAAACAATGTTAGTTAGAAACAATGCAAACTGTCCTTAAAACCTTCTTAATTTTCCTTCTAGGTTTCAGTTTCAAACGTCAAAAAACAGGAAATAAACAGTGCCCAGAAGAAAGGATGATTTCTCACAACATGACGTGGATCAGCTACCCAAGCAAGAACTTTGCTTTCATCTCCCCAGAAGAAATTGAAGCATTCATAGCATCTCAAAACATCATATCAAGACTTATGCACTGTTATATGGCCTTTTTTGTACCAATGGGATTAATAGCTGGCCTATGCATTTTAATCATTTTCATAAAGAATTATCTGCAGGTCAAAATCATGGAAAACTTTGACTTACTTCTTCTACTCTTCACCATCAGCAATATTATAATGATTTTTTTTTCATTCACTGTCATTCCTAGGCCTGACTATGTAAAAACAACCCACTTCGCATGCAAAATCCTATCTTTTTTTTTCAACTTAAGCTATTTCAGTTCTCAGCATCTTTTCCTTTTGATGCTTCTCATCGTTTTACTCGAGAGATTTCCACCAATGCCTGTTCTGAGCCAAGCAACCCAAAATCCCATATTGGGTGTTGGATGTGTTCTTATATATGCCTTCTGTTTGTCAGTGTGTGAATCAGTGCTGCTTGGCACGGATAATTATCACTTGAAAACCGATTGCCAGTTAGATCCTTTATTTGCATGGCCTGAATATGAGATTGTTAAATTCACCTTCGGATTTGGAATTCCATCATTTCTTCAGATAATCTGTTTTACTGTGCTCTTTGCTAAAGAAGCACCCGCTGAGGCTCCAGCCTTACAGCTGCACATTCGTACATACCTGCCTGTGGTACCTATAAGCATAACCATGTTGATGTGCCGCCTATTTTACAGTGTTATGATTCTCCTCAGAACGATGCTGAAATTACAGGAAAAGATTGGAACTCCACAGAACGAGCTCGTGATGAATATTGCAGAAATAGTGTTGTTCTGTGAGAGCTGTACTAGTTTGGTATTTGTGCTTTGTTTGCATAAACCCTGCAAAGATGCAGTCCTGAAAGTCCTACGGAACTGCAAAATGGAAAATAGCAGCAGCAGTCACGTATTGTGAACCGACTGGGAACCACGAAAGCACCTCTCAGTAGTACTTGCTTTTTGAGAACTGTCATTTTTTCAGCTGTTCTTCTTTATAAAGGATAATGGCTCCTTGTTTAGACCCCAAGCTTGGACTACCTTAGCGCTGGGAGTAGTGGAAGAAAAAATATATTTGGGTCTAGTATTTGCAGTGACTTACGAGAAAACATCTCAGCTTTTTGGTCTCTCATCTCCCCCCCTCGAATAACTTTTTAATAAATCTCTACATTCTACAAAGGTTACTTCTAAGCAAAGCAGAAATAAGAGCATGTTACCACAGAAGTATGCTTTTGTATTAAATACCAGTACACTGGCAAAGATGCAAACAAAAACACAGCAGAAAGCAGCTCTGGGCTGCAGGAAAAATCTGCAGCAGAAGCATTTTCTCAGCTCTGCTTTCACTTTGACTGGAATTTCTTCCCCTACACAATACTCATATTTTTTGATAATCTTGGTTAAGTCCAGTAGCAACAGCAGTGAATTATGGCTTAAGAATGCACTATAATCCTGAAATTATATTGCAATGCTAGAAGTTTGCTGCACTGCTTTTATACATATATCTAAACTTGCATAAAAGAATATGTAAAGTATATATATTTTATATTTGTATACAACAAATAAAGAAAGCTTATAATTCTTTCTCCATTTTCCTTGTTTGGAATCATCAAAGTGTTAAGCTTTTAGTCTAAAAGTTTGCAGAAAAAAAAATTAAAAAAGGGAAAAGAAAGAATGAATGAAAACCCTCAAATGAAATGAATAGATGTAAACTCCGGTACATAAAGTTCTGAGGTCCTTCTATGGCACTGAATGGGAAAGATCAAAAGAAAGCTCATTAAAACTTCTGCACAAGGATGAAGGCTTTTTGTTTAACTTCTTTGCTCCAAACTTACTTTAAGACTTAAACTAATTATAGATTTAAAGTCATTCTGGATAGGTTCATTTAAAAGTATGAAGTACTAGACCTAGGAACCATCACACTGGATAATATCCTAAAGAGAAAACAAGGTAAGTCAGGCTTAGAAGAGTATAAGTGAGGTTTCCATGCTAACATGCTAAAAAAACTGATCTATTTAATTGCTTTCTCATGTTTAGAAAGCCTTCTTCACGGGGTCTAGATTTGTATAGATAGTTGGTACAAATCAGCATGGGCTGGCATCAATCTAGGAGCACCAACCTCAGAAGAAACATCTTCTGCAAAACAACAGCCAAGTGGATAAATGGAAGAATAAAGAACCAATAATAATTCAGTATTTAGATCTGGTATGTAGACATATGGATCTAGTCTCAGATATCTCTGTCCTGAAATTTAGGGAACTTGACCGTATCACATGCAAGTGCAGAGCAATATGTAGTCTCACTAACTAGGACCATAAGGACCAACACTTCAGCAAGACGTAAAATCAACTGGTCTGATGTGGGAATTGTATTCTGTCAGCCTGTTTTCCTGTTTAATTTTGTTCTGCTGCCAGCATGAACAGATGGATAATTAAAGAAAGCTACATAAAAGCAGACCATTACAGAACCTGGTCAGAAAGGAAATACGTAGAGAGGAATCATCTCTTCCAACATAAGAACCAGTTTTCTAGTTGCAAGAGGATTTCTCAGCTCCAAATCTGGCATCAAAGCTATTGTTTTGCACCTGAAAAGAGATAAAAGAATGGGCTGAAGATCAGCTTGATTCAGAAAGAAGCCTGAAGAGCTAAGTTGTAAGACTGCCTGTCAGTGAAAAAAGCTGACAGACTGACTGAAAGAAGATGGCAAAGACACAAGCTGCCTATCCCAGTTTGGACAGAGCACTGCATGGCTTCAGCTGCACCACAGAGAAATAAATAGGTTATTTTTCAGTATGGGAATATGCACAAAGGATTATACTTTATTCGCTGCTTCCATGTATTTTCTATTTGAGGATGAAAGAATAAACACCGTGGTTTCAAAATCACCTTAATCAGAGTTACTATTAAAGGTACCCAAAAGAAAAACCTACTCCAGAAATACATGGGAGCTAGTTAGGTAACCTTGCGTGGGTGCTGGAAACTGGTCTGATGGTGGGCAAAGCACAAACGCACCAACAGGGAGGCCAGGGGGTCTAGCCAGGGTGAAGTGCACTTAGTGATGCTTTTAATTAGGGATACAGACCAATTAGGGGTTTTTTATTTAGTTTAAATTAGGGATAAACCAAAATCACAACCCGCTGTCTCACAGAAATAAAACCTGAGAGGATCTACTGTCAGAGCTAAGATTTGAGAAGAGGAAGATTGTACATAAATCTGTGAGTATCCCTGGGTACTGTCATCCATGAAATAGATATGAATGAAATATATATGAACACATTCTCTTCACTGACCAGGGCTACTATCATGGGAAAAACTGACTATTTTTTTTGATGGCTGGTTATATGATCACAAAGATATTTCTATATACAGCAAGAACAGTGTTTGAACTGAACAGGAGAAAATAAACAAGAGGTTGAATTTTTTTCACTTTTATTTTGTATGTCCTATAGCACTACTGAATTGTTTTAATTTAACAATTAATTATTTAATTCTTAAACATTAAGACAATTCTTAATAAACTTACTCTAAGCTTCCATGAAGATTCAGGACAATGAACACATAAACCCGGAGAAGAGGAGCTTTGTTCCAACTGAAATATGAGGGCAGATACCCCTATAGGCAACAGGAAAGGACGGAAGTTGTCCCAAAAAACATCCTGAACAGTCAAATTTGAAGGAAAGGAAAAGAACAACTGTGGCCAAAATTAAATGTAATTATTTTTAAGTGATTAATATCTTGGAGTGCATTCCCTAGGAACAAAATGCAACTTTCGTGCTTATAGAGATTTTTTTTGTGTGTCAACAGCAATAACTGTTGAACACTGTTTCTTCCCAGCTTTACCTAGTATTTGAACAGCATGTTCCAGATGAAATAGAGCATATATTTTTATAGGCATGGTGTCAAAATGAACTAACGGAATATAGTGGAAAACTCAAAGAGGGATGTTTATTTCTATGCTGGTAATATTCATATTTGTCTAAGACTTCTGCTTGCTTTGGAAAAAAAACAAAAACCCAAAAATCTCTGTTCAGAAAAATATGAGGGACGGACAGGCTCCTGATGTTTAAGCCTGAATTTCTGAGTTGACGCTATGTTTTGCAAAAGTACATTTAGAAACTAAGGACTCCTCTTTACTGAGCCCATTGGCTCAAATTTAATCTGATCCAATTGTAAATCACATTCTGAGCTAAAAAGAGATTGGATTTACACACTTGGATTGTAACTTTAGCTGCTACTCTCTGTACTGTAGTGTTAAACCTAGACTCAGTAGCACTGCAGTTTCAAACAGGCCCTTAATGGGTTGAAACCTTAGTTAACTTGCTTTTAAGGCAGAAGATTTAGTCTAGGGCAAAAGCCCAAGCAATTCAGCTAAAGTAAGTCCTCACTATATAACGTTTACATCCTATATGTTCAACCACAAATTGATTCACTGTCTGGAGTGAAATAATCTGTTTTGCTTCCTTGACTCCCTGATTCTTACTTGGTTAACCGGGATCAATTAGTAAAACCTGTACACCTGAAGAGGTGAATGGAATGGCCGGCAAAGCCAGGATACAACTGGCTAGACCAGCTGGACACAGCTACGATGATGAAAAAAAATGCTGCTTTTTGATTTTTTTAAATCATATTTGGATGGAGAGTGAAGTACTTGTGAATACACAAGTATTTGTTCCCATTTAAACAAAACAACTTGCAAGGAAGGTTACTGAGACTTATGAGGATAAAGTATAAGGGTGATGTAAAACAGGGGAAGGGTCCAGAAGGAGTGAAAGTTCAGAAGAGGCATCCACACTTAGAGAAAGATGAGAAAGAATCTGGAGGACAAGAGATCAAAATACTTCAAAAAAAAAAAAGTACACAAACATGACAAGAGCATCTGTATTTCCTCTGAACGTAATTTCAGTAGAGATACATGATACAAAGCCTTTCTCTTCTGCAGATGGTTACACTATACTAAGCATCTGAACACAGTTTCGTACTTGCTTCCACTTCGCTGCAGTACCTTGGATTTCTTCCACTTTACACGACTGGCCCTGATCTAATTTCTCCATGGCTCAACAGCATCATGATGCTGCCAGTGCTCTTCAGCACTTTGGGGAGAATCTGACAGCTTTTAATCCTGCAGGACTTACCCACATGTTTAACTTTGCTAAACTATGTAGAAAAACCTTCTATTATATTCCACTTTAGGCATCTAAGTACAATTATGTATATCACAAATGACTATTGATTTCAAGAAACATTTGTGCATCGTTATATCTCTTTTTAAACACTATATATACCATAATAAGAAGTAGACTACTACATAATTAATAATGGGTGTTTTTTTAAAAAAAAAACAAAGCCCCGTAGAATAAGACAAATCGGAAGGGAAAAAGAAATGATGCAATGTTCAACAGTTACTAAAATTGATTTTAGGCATTATATATCCCTTTCAACATAGAAGGGCTGAATAGTGTGACTAAAGCAAGACTAAAGTGACTAAATGACTAACAATACTTTGCCTGGATAAACAAGAGTCTACATTCATGATGGAAGATGTCATGTTTCTTTTGGAAAACAAGACTCAGAATTCACATGATCATCGCATCATTTTTCAGTGAGCTACAGAACCCACGAATTACAGAATAATACTCCTAGGCTTGGCCACCTCAGCTGCATAGTTCTGCTAGCATGAGAAGAGCTACTTTGTGCTCTCTCAAAAGAAAACCTCCCGGCCATTCTTGGGGTAGGGCAAAGTGACATATTGCTTGTCATGAAGTAAAGCAAGAAAATTGGCACTCATAACAAAATTATACATTTTAATAGTTAATCAACTAATGTTCGCAGCTGGAAAAAAACAAGGGCAGAGAGACCAGCTGATTATCTAACACAGGCCTCCATAATTGCAAACTGCTAACACCCAGAGCGAACATCATACATCAAGGAAAGCAAAAATCCTTCTGGCCGTTTCAAGATCACTGAAAACTCTCAAGGGCAGAATTAAGAGCAAAACCACATGATCAACAAACCACAATCAAGCCCCTTTATAATCCTGTTCTTAGGACAGCAACAAACCAGACATGTAAAGCTGGTATCACAAGATTTTGTACTATCACAATTCGTCCACTTTGTGAATCAATCGTATTTTGCACTCCTTAAAGCCAAGCACTTCAGATACTGTCCTCGTAAACCCTTTTAGAAATGAAATCCACTCCGGAATGCTATTAGGGGACATCTTCTATTCAGGAAACTTTTGTCCTTAACGATTTGCACAAACTTTCTCTCAAGTAATAATTTACCCCAGAACATATTAATGAAGAAATATATAAATAAATAAGAACACCATTTTTTTTCATAATAACACTGCCAAAATCCTGTAGTGTTGTGCATAGCTCATTGCAACAAAATTAGCAAATAATATTTTTGCATGAGAGTACTAAAAGGCAAAGTGCGTGTTATTCCTAAAATCTCTTGTGTAAGAATTTTTGCTCGATTTTTCTACAGAGGTCTTTTGCAACTTAATGTATATTACAGTAGACAAATATCTTAAGGCATACACTAAAAGCCATGTTAATTGTTTATATCACACTTATGAAGCTGTAACATTGATTTCTTGAAACCCTAAATGCTGAAATCTGCCTCATCTTATTTCAGTAGCAGCAGCATATTGCAATGCAGTCTAGCATAGCCATTAATAGCATGTTGCATTACAGAAATCACCGTATTCATAAAAATTCATTTACACATAGAAAATACTGCTCTTTTATGAGACAAATAAAGATTTAATACACCATTTTTTTACTGAGACTTTTCTTTCCATTTGGATTTGAAGAATTCCAGCCACCAGCAGGTGGTGTTTCTGGAAACGTCAACTATTTTTCCTCCACCCGCCCCCCGAGATGAAAGGCAAAACTCCACCTGCAATACTGGTGTTCACATGCAACACTGAGGCTCCACATCCTCTGCAAAATAAGCTTATCAACACACGTGGCTTTGAGCTGGACAATTTTAAGACGGGTCAAGATGAGGATGTATTCCTGAAAAATTAAATACAAGCAGGAAAATGGGAGGAACTTGAAGGTAGGAGAACTGAAATCCATACTGTTAGCTTAGTAATATGCCATTGTTCTGCTCCTCTGTTTCTACCAATCTAATATTTCTAATATTTCTTTAGACTATCAGGAGTCTGAAAAGGATTACGTACGTATCCATAACTGCTCTTTCATGTGTACGTACGATATGCTTAGTTGCACATAAATCTCTTAATTACTGATCAACAGAGTCATATGTTCAGATAAGCTACCTTAGGTAAAAAAAGGCTAAAGGCCTCCCTAAGGGGAGTAAAATGAAAGTTGAGAAGAATAAAATTGAAAATGCCAAGATAGAAGCTCCAGTAAAATAAAGAAACCAGCAGAAACAGGGTTAATTCTAGCCTTAGAAGGCTCTTCAGCACCACTTCAACTGAACACAAATTAGAAGGACCCTGGGAATCTATAAAGCTTGTTTTATTGCCAAGGACATGCAGCAAGATCTTCATTTTGCTCTTGTAAATTGTCATTTATTTAAGGTATTTTAAAACAGCGCAGGCTTTTATATGAATTTTTACTACTGAATTGTCAACAGGTGGCATTCACTGCAGCTTTGCACACCTAAATGCAAGTTTTTACTGACACTACAGCTGAAGTCGATGCATCCATCTAAGCGTTCTCTGAACAAGAATCAGCCTTCTGGCATCTGGAAGCAAATCAGCCCTGCAGAAATGGCATTAAGGTAAAACAAAGTGTTTCATTGTACATAGTTACCTGTAATATTTGCTATTGCTTGGCTTTTGGTGGACTTTTATGCATAACTGAAATGTGACTCTAGACCTATCTTTTAAAAATCAGTTTATAAGCCTATTAAGTTATCCCTTATTGCATTTAAAGCAGTTTACTGCCTCAGTCAGAAATAAAACGATATTACATAAAAGACATAAAAGGTTCATGTCTGACCTCAACAGCTGCTTGAAACAAACACCAAGCCTTCCTCAAATAAGTGTAATTTCATATGGATGTTCATGTGGATAAATATTTACATTATGAAATGCCTATAACGCAGCAAACAATTCTAATACACTGATGCCTATTTTGCTAAGAAGCAAAAGCTCTGAAACTTCACAGATACAGTTTTAGTTAAGTATCAGCTAGATACTGCTGAAAACCTAAAAACATTTAAAAAAATCTTAGAGCTGTATTGCTAATAAAAATACTCTTAACACTCGTATTTGGTGCTCTGCTCTTTTGCCTCACCCTGACTACATCAACATTTAGAAACATTACAATGTGGGAATAAGCATGTAAACTCTTTAATATTTATATATCTTTTTAGTGTAATTAAAATGAAAATTTAGGTATAAGATAATGATTCAAAATAGCTCTAAAAGATAGCTTTAACACAAAATGTTTTAGGTTTTCACTTTTTTTTACAATTCCATTTGCTTGGGGCATCTTTTTTAAATAAACTTCTGGTAATACTTTAAGTCCATATCATTTTACACTTATTAAAAAACAACCAGGGAACATTTATGAATAAATAAATAGAAAAAAAAAGAATTTTCATTTCTTTCTGGAACTCAATGCAGTATAGTTAAGCATAAATACACGAAGACTAACTGTAATAATATTGGTGTAAATAAACACACTGCATGTATTACTTCCATTTCTAAAAACTTCCCTTTTCCTCTGCTCTGCAAACAGATGGAATCAATTGCTTTTCCTCTGTGTTGTCTTGTCAGCCATTGACTCCGCTACTTAATAAGGTTATTCACTGATGATAAAATAAAAATACATACCTATAAAGTTTGCTTCGGAAACAGTAAGCAGAAAATCTTCTGTTTTCCTGTAATATTTCCCATTCCTACGGGTTTGCGAAATTTGAACAAATCTATTTTTAACTGAACATTTATTTGCATGTGTGTGTATTCAAGCATAGTGTTTTCTACACCTCAGCTGCGTATGTTAATTTAGGGAAAGCCTACGGTACATGACAGTGCTGGGGTATTAGATTAATGGATTTCCATTTGCAAATTGCAGGTCCAAGGATGAGCATTCATAATAAAAGAAAACAAATGGAGCTAAAATTCTACTATCTTCCCACCTGCAAGAAGAAACGCTATTGATGCTGACTGATAGAAAGTTTTTATTATAGAAATCCAAGTATCATTATGGTAAAAAGATTTCTACACGATCTTAAGGCACACAGGAACTTAAAGTACTCTCAGCAGGAACTTAAAAGTACTCCCAGTTGCAATGTATATAGTGTCCTATAAAAAAAAAATAATTAAGAAATTTGCTTCTTGCACTGTTACGTTTCAGCCATTCAAAATGATTACTATAAACTTCTTTGGAAATATGAAAAATTTAACTTTTTTTGGCCACCCTGACCAAGTGTGAGTACTGATATCTTTTCTGCAGATATTTGAGCCATGGAAACTTACTCAGCCTCCGTATCCCCTATTATATGTAACAGCACAACTTTCAATCTAAATGGATCACATTTGTGTAATGAAAGTCTATCTTCTAGATTGGCTGATAAATCAGAACACCAACAATATGTTATCGGACTCTTCCTATCATGCCTTTATACAATATTTCTTTTCCCTATTGGGTTTGTGGGAAACATTCTGATCCTGGTTGTAAACATAAGCTTTCGAGAAAAAATGACCATTCCAGACCTTTACTTCATAAACCTCGCAGTAGCTGATCTCATTTTAGTTGCCGATTCCCTCATTGAGGTTTTTAACCTTGATGAGAAGTATTACGATATCACGATTATTTGTACCTTTATGTCCTTGTTTCTTCAGATCAACATGTACAGCAGCATTTTCTTCCTGACTTGGATGAGTTTTGACAGATACCTAGCTCTGGCAAAAGTAATGAGGTCCAACCTATTCCGCACTATGCAGCACGCTAGGTTAAGCTGCGGCCTCATATGGATGGCGTCTATCTCGGCAGCGCTAGTTCCGTTCACAGCCGTGCATTTACAACACACCGGAGAGGTCTATTTTTGCTTTGCAGATGTAAAAGAAATCCAGTGGCTAGAAATCACCTTGGGGTTTATCATTCCCTTTGTGATCATCGGTCTCTGTTACTCGCTAATTGTGCGGGTTCTCATAAAAGCCCACAAGCACAGGAGCCTGCGGCTGCGGCGCCAGAAGGCCCTTCGCATGATTTTTGTCGTTGTCTTGGTTTTCTTTATCTGCTGGTTACCTGAAAACGTCTTCATTAGCGTGCAGCTTCTTCAGAAGAAAAATGAGCCTGTCTCTTCCAGCAGCCCATCCTTCAGGCACGATTATCCTTTAACAGGACACATTGTGAACCTAGCAGCTTTTTCTAATAGCTGTTTGAACCCCTTAATTTACAGTTTTCTAGGTGAAACCTTCAGAGACAAACTGCGGCTGTATATTGAACAGAAAACGAAAATGTCAACGTTACATCGCTTTTGTCAGGCTGCCTTAACGTCTGTCATTCCTGACAGCAACGAGCAATCCGAAGTCTGACTTGGTACTGGCTGTATAAAACGTATGACTGAACCCATGCACATAATGAACCAAACGCTTGCTACTAACAGAAAACTGTGTGTTTGTGTGTATTATGTTATATTGCCCTGCTGAGTATTGAAGGTTTATATTCCAGATGTTTTTATGACAAGACTTTAATGTAGAAGAATACGTTTTAGTCATATTTGTATTTAATTATGAACAAGATTATTAAAAGCTGAGCACTGATGGAGCTTTATTTTGTATTATATATGTATGAATGATAACATAGCAGAAAATTTCATCAAGTTAGGAAGACCTGGGGTATAACTAGATTATCAGAGATGATACTTTGCTGGCATATAAGGTCCTTCCACATAAATAATGAAGCTGCCACACCAGTGGAAAAAATCATTATAATGTATTGATGTGGAAAGGCAGAAAACATTGATTTTATCATCCAAATATGTTTAGTTAATTACTTTTCCTAGAAGAACTATACAGTAAATTCTATTCTTGCATGTCTTCCAGAATTAACTTTTTTTTTAATCTTAATATAACATAGAATGATGGTGAGTTTTCTCCTCATAAATGTAATCTAGCAGTGCATCAGCATTTGATCAAAACTGAAATCAGCATCTGTAACTATATTGCTCATCCTGGAGAACAGAAGCACTCTCTAATACTTCATTTTGTTTTTTAAGGACTGCGCAGGACAGTCTTTCCCAGAGCAGACATAATGAGGCTTTTGGGTAAAAACACAAGCACACGTGCACGTACATTCACATCAGCCTTCATACTTAAATGGAAGTGCATGAGATAGCTTTACATTTAGCATGTCTGTTTTGATCATCAGAACAAAATACTGGGGCTTCAAATGAAATTATTTTCTGCATAGGACTGAATAAGAACTGTGTAGGAAAGTGTCACTTGGGGGGATAACAGAACTTCTGTAAAGGGGAACGTGATTAGGTATTAGAGGTCCACACTGTTCACGCCACCTCCCCAAATCACTGGCCTTGCAAGATTTTAGATGCCTGTTGGTCACTTTGCTCATTTTGGAAGACAAGTCATCCTAAGAAGACTGTAGCACCACGTATTTGAGAATAATAGTATTTTTTCTACTAGAAAATAACAGGGGTTTAAATCTGGATGTTTAGAACAGGTAACTGCTGCACTAGTTCACTGGATATTAGATACACACCAAAGTCTGGTTCTAAGACAGCTAAAGCATCGCTAATGGTACCTCTGAAATGCACAAACTGATTCCACCTCTGTGCTCACTGCATTAATCACCAGATCTCTTCACAATAAGACACTTTGTCCTATTTTCACACGTCCTATATAATTAGTACATGAAAGCATTTTTCAAGATGTTTAAATCGTAGAAAAGAATTACTGAAATAGCTATGCAATAGAGAAAACAGTAATTCCACTCGTATCTCTTCTGAAATACTTCAAGTTTCTGAGTGGAAACTTTAGCCACAAGAGAACTGACCAATAAACAGAAAGGCCACAAGAAAATGGATTGATTTGAATAAATATCTAGATGTTCCCAAAGTTACCAGAAACAAGAAGCACAGGGTGGAGTTTGCCACAAGTGCTGATTATTATTTGCAAGTGACCATTATGTAATCAGCTAAAAAAAAAAATCCATTTAGCCACATTCCTGTAAAGCACTGAGCTGTAAGGCTTCCCCTCACCATGCAGGACATGTCGATAATGAACTATTCTGCTGCAATACAGGTCCCTTTTTTACTTCCTTATTCTCATGCTTGGAATTAGCCACAATTATTCACATTTTATCAGCTGCATTAATTTCACCTTGAAATATTGGTAATTCAGCTAACAGAGAACTGAAGGAAAGGGTAATGCTTTCAGTGATGCAATCTCCTGAAATAAGACCTTTTCTGAGATAGATTTGCCTGTATGGATATGGTGGAAGAATGTCATTTCATCACCATTTGAGGTAACTAATCAAGAAAGTGCTAATGTTCAGAAACTGAAAATAATAACCAGATATTAATAGCAAATGTCTGCTCACACATAGCATATGTGGTATTTTTCTGCATTACCATATTCAGTAATGCCCTGATACCCCAGTGAAATCTAGGAAAGATCAGATTATTATAATATAAAGAAAGCATTATTTAACTGCTCAACTTGAAACGACCTATTATATTTAAAACAAAACTACAAATATGAGCTATTTTATGAGTTTCCTACGCTACTATTTTGGTTTTGTATGTAAGTACAGGCTTATGAACTGTATCTCAAATCATTAAATTTAAACATGAAACTCACTTTAAATAAATAAAAAGTCCTCTCCTGGGTAAGGAAACTGCACATTTATCCCCTATTTTTTTTTTTTAATGGCAACTATGTAAAATGTTATATTTATAAAAATGCCCTATGACTTCTGTGTTTATATGTTATATATATTTCATAAATGCTAATCAACTTGCTTACTCCAGCCCATAACTTTAAAATAACTTGTTGCCGAGTCTCACTCATGTACAAAAATCCCTGTTTTTTATGCAGTTTTCTGCAAAATTAAAAAGTATGGTTGACCTATGGTGAAAAACGTTTTCTGGGGTGTACAGAGGAAATGGAAAACGAGACTAAGAATTTTCCTTCAATTTCTTCACTTAATGCTTCTCTCAAGTGACTCAAAAATTGTTTAATTCAAAGAATTGTTTCTGTAGCCTTTTCTAAAAATCCTGGAGTGATGACAAACATAAAATGTAAAATCTGCTTATGACAGATGCTTATAGTCTTTGCTCTAATAATCTGTCAAGCCTACAGACAGCAGAAGTGTAGTAATAGCAAAAAAAAAAAAAAAAAAAAAAAACCATGACCCTCTAAAATATTTAATTGCTTTTGAAAATAACACCTTAAAGCAAAAATATGCCCCAAATGCGCAACATATTACCGAATGTCAAGAGCAGAAACAAACTCAAATAGCCTAAACTAGCAGCAGGCTGAATCTGATGTGACCGAAAGCAACTGTCCTCCCTCAGCGGTGTAGAAAGCTGTGAGAAAAAAACAGTTGTCTGAGACCATATAAACATGTTCGAGCTGCTATATTCTTGCACCCCGTTAACAGTTTTAGGAGTTACACCAAATACCGGCTGTGCAAGGACAGCACGTGCACATGTAGAAAAAGCAGGATTACTGCGTCTGAAGATGCAGTTTGATTAATTTATGAAAAGCATCACATAATGTGAGTGAACGTGACAGGAAATTTGAATCAATGAGCCAGAAGATCCTAGATTCTGGGCAAGGTTTAGACACAAAATGGGCAAGGTGCAAGGAAAGTCATCCCCTCGCTGCTGTTCCACACAGAATTCAGAAGACTAACTTAGAATAGTTAAGTCATCAATTCCAAAAGAGGACATACACTATAAAATAAATATTTAGTTAGAATTCTTAAAACACTTTCCTTCAATTTGTTTTTACCATGTGAAAAAGATTCAGCCTCATCTTAAATTCTCCTTGTGTAATGACATGCATGTTATTAACTGGAAACAACTTATCTGGCATATAAAATCCATTCTACTAAACTTGCAAATAGGCAAGCTTAAAAATTGGTGGGCTTTTTTCTTTTTCAGGAAGAAAATACTTTTAAAGTTTCAGGTTTCAGGCAAAATTCACTGGCTGTGTAATGCGGGCTCTAATCTTTTTTCCGGCCATCAAATTACGTTGGAGGCTAACAAATTGTTTTTCCATGCAGGGATTTTGCTATAGTTTATCAGCTCTTTACAGTGAGATTGCAAAAGAGAAAAAGTTGCCTGGAAAATTTTGAATGGTTAGGATTGTAACATGAGAAATGTGCTCCAAAGTGGTTTACACTAAGAAAAACCTTGTTGAGTTCAACCCTGATTATGATTTCATTCAACTTTTTTCTACATAAGTAGAAAAATAAGTCAGCATATAAAGAAGGAAAGTTTGAATTCTGATAATTATTTGCAAAGGTGACAGAATGAATTTGTTTCATTTTGAAGGAAAACGCTAAAGACAGTCATTTGGTTTTAATTTGGAGAGAGCAAGGGTTCGAGGAGAACGGCTTAAGGTTTATAACAATATTTATCATGTAACTGGGGACAGTTTCCTCGTTTGATGCTTTAGTTATTCTCAAAGTAGCCTGAAGTCTTAATCAGGGCTAAATCACTGTGATTTCTCACAGAAAGAAAACAAAGACAAGAGAACCATCTTTCCCATCAACTCCAAAAGCCTCACCTGACCCATTCAGCTCATCAGACACATATTTAGGATTTCTGCCATAGCCACACATAGGGCTAAATTTATTCTTGTGAATATATTTTGCAGTAGAAGTTCACCCTCACATTCCCACTTACATCCACAGCAGCGCACCACTACACAGTCAGACCTGGCCATTCCTTGTTCAAAGACTATTTACTTCAGGAAATAATTATTTTACAGTTCTATTTAATAAAAGTCACCAATAAATGATTTGCATGTTGGGATTGTCCTTTATCTTTTTTGTGCTTAATCTGCAACAATAGATGCTGTGAACATGTTATTTTAAAGACATATATGAGATTACCTCTGGTCACTTTTAGGTCTGTTGTCAGGGAGATAAACTACAGTAAATGCCCTGTACTACATTCTGAGGCCAAACACAACAGTTGGAAAAATCTGAACACTCTCCATTCATATTTATAATTTAGATGTCCTTCCTTCAGTGGTATTGTCCAAACTATTTATTCCACATTGACATACAGTTCACTAAACTTTTAGCCTTTGGCTTCTGGCTCCCTTTTAGACTTCCATTCCATCATATGGCAGTATGACACAGCCAGAAGCTAAGAATAAACAGTCCCATCCTGACCCAGCCACCCAAGATGACAACAGAAAAGCAGTGCCTTCTCAGGACCCAAGATCGTGCAGAATCAGCCCAGTACCTTCTACCCACTCTCTACTCACACTTCAGTTGCTTTCCACACATCCAGTGAATTCCACTACAGCAGCTTTAAAAATTATAGTCCATTATAGTGCAATGTGTCTGTTTAGAATAGCACTGAAGGGTGTCAGGAAAGTCAACTCCAGTGATAAAACTATATCCAATCCTCATTTCCATACTGTTTTGTTTTGAAGTTGTTCAGCCCTCT